CACACACCAATATTAGACGAAACGATTTTGTAACACTTCATTATTGAACTGTGAAGTCTCTTTTATCGATAAGTGAAGCATATAACACAAAAACTTGTCATGAGGATAAAAGCCTCCAAATTAGTCAGAATAACTTTTTTTTATGAAGGCATTAAGTTATCACTTCACAAGTGGGGTTATTTATCGTCATGACAGAGATAATAAAATAGTAAAATAGACAAAAAGTCGAATGACCCGACTATGAGGTACTTGGTTACATTTTCGATAAGAGGAAAGTATACTAACCTCCCTCAGCCATTAAAACTAAGGTAGTGTTTAAATGGGAGTGTAACATTTTGAAAATCCACTTAACCAACTCCAAATAACCCCCTTTACAACCAATCATATTCAGTAATGTTTAAAATAGATGGTTATATTCAGAGTTAATAGTGGTTTCTTTGGTCTTAAAAGATTCATAGCAGAGCATTCATATTTACAATAAAAAAACACTACAAGATCTAAATCATATCTGTAAATGTTCAATCTTTATTTTTGTATTATCCATCACTTTATTCTAGAAGTATCATTATTCAACCAGCTATTTAAAAAAACTTGTAGACGACGGATTATGGTTATATCATCTTCAATTATCAATTATCATAATACTTATTTATGCATAAGTATATTATAAGATTGTTAATTGTTGTATTCAAATTTAAAATAATCGATAAATAGATTATTATCTTTTTGCTAGTTTCAATATAAATAAATTAAAGGTTAGATTATTTCCTAGAGTTTTATTTACAATTAATTCATTATTTAAAAGACGCAGAAAAAAGTGAATATAAAACAGGCGGGTTAATTTTACATTGAACTTTAATCAATTTTGTTCAAAATACAATTTGACATATATACACACACACAAGTATATATGAATGTATATATAAGTAGATTTAGACAGATATTTATTCATTTACGTCATATTCAAGACTGAATAATTTGAAAGTTGCGCTTGACATATATATATATATATATATATATATATATATATATATATATATATAAACCTGCCTTAAACAGTTATAACATGTTTGAACTAGTTTAAGACAAAACATTAGATAAGTTTAAAAAACAGATAACAAAGTCTGAGTGTGATGTTAACACTCATTCACTAAGTTGTTCAGACTCATATATCATTACTATTACTGATATTTTATAGACAGCATATCTAGTTGTTTGGTTAAATGGAAGTAATCGATAGGATAGCTTTTGTAATACAGACCTGGAAGTGTTCAGTAGAGCATGTCTAACACACTGGGGAATTTGAGGTCACTTTGACAATCTGAACCAGTGTTGCAGTCGAAGAGATTACCATTAAACCCAACAATAAATAGGTCAATGTCAAAGTGGATAATAGTTATCATATTTGGCTAACTTATTAATCAGACACTAAACTATCAATATGAAGAGAAAAAGTGGTGGAGATGATAAAACAGAAAAAAGGCATTTAACTGAAAGATTGACTTACACATCTCGACTGAAAACCTCTACTCGAAATCTGATGATCATCCATACACTTTCACTTTAGAGGTTTACTCAAATACTTTTTTTCTAGAAAAATCACCGAAGCCTATCATCAGAAATATTTGGATAAACACATGATTTGGATATGAATATCAATATTGAAAAAAGAACTGCTTCAAGAAAGCCTATTGGTTACTGATATTAAATTTCTTTATTGAGATAAACAAAATCAAAGTGACCAATCAAATCCATGTGAACAATAACACCTATCATAGACTACACATATCAGTAACCAGAAGACAGAATGAGTAATGCACTAACACTCGGTACCAACTAAAGCGCCAAATCAAACCTATCCAACTGGAGGGGAAAACCAATCTATCAGTGTAATAACTGATTTTGAAATAATCTTGACAGTTACTGACATATACAAAAAAACAATATTTTTCTACTTTTTCATCTACACTACATATCAGACTCTCATACGCTTCACCTTAGCATTGACAGAAATGTTAAAATCGTTTTTTAAGGTAAAAAAACATGTCTACCGCCATGGGTTTATCTACAGCTGCTCAATGTATCCAATGTGTTACATTGTGTTACTATTGTGCCAAATCATCCTTTCAAACACAGATTTAGACATATTAAATGTGTTTCCGAATAAAATAAAATAAAATAAATCAATCACATAGTTTTTACTATAAAATATTTTTCCTAATGAAGTTGATTCAATGTTTCAATGTTTTAAGAGTATCAGAAAACACATACTTCATACAGAGTGTTAACTAAAATGTGTATTCCACATACTTTAAAAGAACAATAGACTTTGAAGTACTTTGTCTATTACTACTGATAATAAGTAGTCGTTTAAACCATGATCACTTTGCTTACATACTATACTAATTATTACTGTTTTTGTTTGAAATACGCATACTTCATTGAATAAGTTAGTACTTGTTTGTGTGTTTAGGATAGCACCTGAATATGAATTTACGTTCAAGGAACACAGACAGTAAGCTGAAGATTTGATCAATTTATTATTTGTTTCTAGGTTCCTAGTGGAACTATAGGGCTTCAGTAGCATGTCATCATTTCATCCTGTTCTCTGAAGTCTTTTTAACCTGACTTTATGATTTTCTATAAGCTTTCATTTCTTCCTCACATGACTATGATCAATTATTGAACAAGAAATCACACAAATTCTTTAATTTCTAATCAATAGCTATTAAAAAATAACGGGAAATAAGAGAAGACAAGAATATTCTACACATTGTACATCTAGTTGAGGCAGTAACCAATTTATGTGTAAGAATTGGTGTTATTTTGAGCATAGATGATTAGAATAGATGGATTGTTAACTCAAGTTCATCGTGTCAACAACTCAACTGACCTCCCCAGTAATTAGAGAAACAAGTGTTGTCATGAATTAGTAACCAAACAGAGTCAAATATAAGCACTTACTTAAACAGTCTCCAATGATATAAAAAAAGAGATGAAGAGTAGTTGTAACTAACGTGGAAACAGCAACTGGTAATGAAACCTATTTTTCTTAAAAGAATAAAGCATCTATCAAATTCCAAGTTGACATTCATCATGGACTAACTTCAGCTGGAGAACCACTGAAAACTTAGGAGTACTGGGAAGCTGTTTTGCCCTGGTATGAGACTCTTCAGCAGTGCTCTTTCTTGACCTAGCCTAGGATCGGTCCAAGGACCATGAGATTCTGTGGCAAGTGGGATCATGGGTGCGTATTGCTGTGGAGTCCCACACTAAGATGAAAGAGGTTTACAGGACTCCCAGGTTTCCAATGTTCCTCCAACTGATGTCAGTCCATGATGAGTTGCAAGTCTGTTGAAAGAAAATGTACACACTGAATCCTGGTGAAAAAGAAATCGAGTGTATGTTACCGTGCTTATTGCTCTTTGTTCCTTCATTGCTTTTTTAATGCTGCATCACAGCTAGTGACATAAAGTATACTTAATTATTTGTCTGATGCTGTTACCTTCCACTCACTAAAGAATCAATCTCTTATCGAGAGAAAAATACGCTGAATCGATCAGTAGACAAAGATGATGCAATCTAGACAGGGTGATGTATTCTACGTTTATTTGATGTTTGTCTACAGATTTACTTAAAATTGTCTGTCTCTCAGATAATATTTAACGTAGAAATTGTTTAAATCAGTTGACCTAGTTTTAGGACATTGAAATGTCCTATTTCTCGTACGTCTAATTCTACAATACTAGACAGGAAAAAGTATTCAGATGATCGCAAATAAAGACTGAATTCGCACATTAAGTATACACACACATAAACACACAGACACACGCACATACGCAGACATGTACACAAACACATACTAGCATACAGGTACAAACTAGCAAACAAATAGACATACAAACAATCGACAAACAAACATTCAGAAATATTGAAAATAAATAATTCATTTTCATTGCTTCAACCAAGCAGTATTGGCTATCATCTAAACGTTTACTCTTACTCAAGTAAACTTTTGCTGCAGATTTGTTTTGTAACTAGAACTGTTTTACCATTTCCGTCGTAAACAACGTGTGAGTAGTACACACATAGGATAGCCATGCTATTTTAACAGTTAATAAATCCACCACCCTTTCTAATCTGTTACTCAGTTTCACTAAATTAGCGTGAGATATATGACATTTTAAATTGATAGAAAATACAGTGACAAAATTAACCTCCCCAGTAAGCTGATGGATAAAAACTTTTCAAAACATGCTGACAGAATGTCATCCGAGTTGATGGTTCCGCCGTCCCACGGTTAACACTGTTGGCCGATTCCCATGGGCTTTAAAGGTCATCCTAGCAAATGCTGAGATGACCGAATAAGTCTTTCTGTTCCGGTTGGAAAGGCAGATTCTTACAAAATAAAGAAACCGGACTGGTCAGTTCGGTTGCTTTCTACTGATAAGTGAATGACTCTAAAAGCCATCTTTAAGCAGTCACTGAAATAACCAATTAGCTTTCTTCCTTTCGACTGGAAAGGAAGATTTCCGTAAAATAAAAAAGTCTAATTGTTTATTTCAGTTCCAGTTAAGGTGAATTTTATCATTATATACTAATAGAACAGAATTGAGAGCAACTTTAAAGGCCACCCTAGCAACAACTGAGACAACCAATCAGACTTCTGTATTTTATGAACATCTGCCTTTCCAACCAGAACACTGCGACCTGATTGGCTACTTGGTCAGTTGCTAGCGTAGCCTTTAATGTCTCTCTAGAATTGAGGATGACTTTAGAGGCCATCCGAAGAACTAGTCAAACAACCAACTGGATATCTATATTTCGGTTAGGAGGGTAGTTTTTCTTAAATGTGGCTATTTCAGTAGTTGTCAGGATGGTATTTAAAGTCTTACTAGGAATCATGGTAATAACAATAACATAGAGTAGCAGAGTTGTCTAATTAATTAATCAATTGAATCGATAAGATTTTATTAACTTCTAATCAATGAAAAACTTACGTGTTGACATATTTTGCATTTGTAGCCTTTAGCTGGTGGATGATATGATGTATGGGCATTGGGGATAGAAAGAACTGACGATAAAGAACCTTCACCGTTACACAAACCATTAAGTGCTATATTTTCCTCTTGATTAATTCCAAGAAATCTGGACTCTACACGCATATTATTACCATTATTATTACTATTAGATGTACTGGTATTATCTTCTCTTGGAGTTGTCAATGGGTCGTCCATTAACATATCCGATGAACGTCGCTCTGCTGCAGTTGTTGACTCAGGGGAACACTCAGAAGCTCTAAGAGAAGAATTTCTAAAAATCAGATTATTGATTCTGTCTTGTTGTGGTGCAGAAAGTAGTCGATTGTTACTTTTATTCTCAACACTGTTATTATTATTGTTACTACTACGAGTTGACTTGCCTGTTCCATGATCAATAGCTGCACTAGATTCACCTGTGCCAGGATTTTCTAAGGAATCGGATAGAGGACTTTTAGGCGAAAATATGTACTGTGGTTGTTGTTGTTGCTGCTGCCCATGAGAAAGAGAATAATTGTCATTATTTGAATGTGATGGTCTTGTGTTGCCATTGTTCCCAGTGTTGTTATTATTCCCAGATGAGTTCTGCTCTTCCATATGCTGTTTATTAACAGCTGGTGTTAAGTTATCTCGAAGTTCATTACTTAATGTTGATTGAAAGTGTAGATGATCCCCACCACCGCCACCACTGACTACAGCTGCAGCGGCCAGTGCAACAGCTGCTGGATTGCCTAAACTCTTCAGATGATGACAGTGTAAATTGTACGGTGTTATAGAATCAGGTTGCAGTTTATTACAGTTAACGGAAGTGATTTGTCGTGGTGATAAGGCTGACTGCTGCCTGTTTAAAACATTTGTTACACTAGACTGTAATTGTGTAGAAAATTGGCTAGGTTTAGCGAAACCATTACAGAGACCGTCTAAAACCATTTCATTCGTACCAGGATTTCGTAAACCGGGTTGTACATGACGCGGGACCTGTATACCATGTGGTAGGGATAGACCATTAGAATTTCCTATATTCGACTCATTTGCCCCCATGATAGCTGAATTTGCCGCAGCTGATGCAAAAGCAGCAATTGCTGCAGCATGACTATTTGGACCGGTGACATTAACTACAGGATTATTGTTCCCGGTATCATTCAATTGTTCATTATGTCCATTTGAACTGTGAGCATGCTGGTGTATATGATTAGTATTACCACGAGGTTGACCAGAGAGTAGACGTTGTGATGTAATATGTGCACGAGCATGGTTAATCGATGGTGAATGGTTTGGATGACGATTATTATCGTTATTGTCACCTCCATCATGATCTTGTGTCAAATGACGTGCTTCATTCAAGCCAACATGCTGATGCGGTAGTATATGTGACATATGAGCTGCATGCGCTCCAGAATAAGAGAAACGTTGACAAAAACTTTCAAAAGGATCTTCAATCATACCAGGAATAGTTGTAGACCCCGAGCCTGGATGTGATACACCTAACATATTGGAGCCAGGCACAGCACTCATTGCTCCAGCACTTGCACCCATCATAATCGGTTGTGCATGTGCACCGACAGCAGCATTCGCTGCAACAGCAGGATAACTTGCCCATGGCCATAGAAATAGTCCAGTTCTTGTTCGTGGATCGGTACCACTTACATCCATCATGAGTCCAGTGTATGTTCGATGATATTTTCTTTTCAATAGGAGATCAACTAATGATGTACAATAAAGAGGGATAAAGTTTGATGTTGTATTCTGTTTTTCTCTTCCGTTACTTGAAATGCACACACATGAAAGAAAACTAAATATTCTCACCGGGTCTCAATAACAGTTGGATGTGTTGAATCCACCAGGATGATGTTGATGAGATTCAGCAACAAACTGACCACCCAAATAGTTACAGTTAGTTAGTTATTTTTCTGTCTGAACTGTGAGTTGAGAAAGGAATAAAAAATAATCTTGAATTACCACTTCAATTTAATAAAGATTTGTTGATTTCATAAATTAAAACATGTGTGTGTGTGTGTGATTGTGTTGTAGTGTCAGTCTCAATCAATTTTTGACTGTCGGATGTATCGATGAAAAAAAGGAGACTATTGTCTGATAAATGTATTCCATACAAGATGTGTAATATTTGTATCAATAGTAGTTGGTGGTGGTGGTGGTGGTGAAATTAGTTTTGAAACAGTTTTTATGCCTTGTCTGTGTACATAATAGATATTCTCTGACAATGATAACATGTACAATGAAGTTAACGAGATAAGATGACAGTTGTTTTAATTAAAAACACCTCATCAAATGGTAAATTAACAGTAGTAGAAGTAATAAGAGTCAGTTACAGTGGTGGCGGTGTTAGTAATAGTAATAGTGAAGTAGTCTAGTGTATGCAGCAGATGATGCGCACAGACAAAGTTGACAAATCAGGTTAGGGATACTAATAACAAATCATTCTACGTGGGCGAATAGTTCCGGTAGCATTAGGTTCTCACCATTAAAACCCTACGTTTTGTCTGTTTTGTTTAACCTGTCAGCCAATCAGATGAGAGAAGAATTATGACCTGTGCACACGAGATTTTTTCAATTGGCTGTCTAGAAACTGAGGCAACGTGAAAGCGTGTCCTGTTAAAATATAATGTATCTGGGCTTATACCAAAATGTGTATAGATAGACTAGAAATTGGACAGTGTCAATTGCTTTATATAACACCACAGAGAGAAAGAGAGAGAAAGAATATAATTTGTCAAGGCTATTGGAACTTGTTTCAGACACGACCTATCTGTACACAGCTCATTTCTTTCATTCATCTATTCTATCCACTCACTCACGTCTTATTTACTCATTCACTTACAATTCGTTTATTTGTCTGTTTGCTTGCTCGCGTTAACAGTCACTTTTTGATACCATTGTCTGGACTTCGATTTTAAATTATTTAAAAAAAAATTTTTTTTTATCTGGTTGACTGACATTTTGTCTCAATATTATACGAAGTGTAAAAAAAAGTGGTCTTCTGAGACAGAACACAATTTGAACTGACTAAATTTCTGATTTATTTGTAGCCAGTCAAGCAAGAGAACAACAATTTATGCAACGGTGTAATGGCATGTGTATTCGTAAAAACTGTAGATTTTGATGCCTTGGTGTTTTTCGTTCTAAAACAGAATTATCGGTGACGGAGATTCACAGACTATAACACCAATAACTTTACTATGACCGTTGTATAAGGAGTGGATATTTTGAACGAGACACGCCTCCTGGATGCCATTCCTAGATACTATTCATCTTTGACAAAAAGAAACAACTGTAAGATGACGAACTTATATAACGACAGTGTTCAGTTTTCCATCAAAGTATATGAAATGTTCACCAGCTTCGTCTTCTGAATACCAACCAAGGTTAGATGATCCATCTACCGACTGACTGCTAACATTTAATATCTAAATACAATGCACCATAGGATGGTTGCTGTCACTTCAACGACCGAGTTGTAGGCTTAATCGACACATTTCGGTTAGTGTTGAGCATTTGGACTTCATAACCACGCCGGTTGGCATCCGCTGACCGATTCCCGGAAATAATCCAGCCCTGCAAGGAGTTAATCGTAAGATGAATAGCTAGGTAGTAAAATATTTGATTTCAGCATAAAGTGACGTGGGTTTGCATCGTCCAGAGGATATCAGTCTCTTTGAGACTAATGATACTCCAACACATAAGTCAGGCCAAGTTCCCTGCTGCAAACGATATTCAAACGGCTGGTAGTGTTTAAGAATTTGAATTGTTAGACTGTTAGAGGTTCGGCCTTTGTTCGAATATACGGTTATTGCTTTAAATACCATGAAATGATTGGTGAATAAAATTCTTTTTAGAATATATCTGACTTACTAGCATCTAAGAGTACCAGAGTTTCTGGTCAACGCCATATTCAAGGGTCAATATTTACCTGAATCATGCGCTATTTTTCAGCCTTCCTTCGACCAACCGTCAAACGCAAAGTGAATAAAGAACAAACAGACACAGCTAACAAGAATGTAACCTGAGATTTTTTCTTTTTAGTATGTAACTTCTTGGTAGTGCGCTGGCATGATGCCATCAGGGCTGGAACCCAGGACACTCAGGTTTCTCAGCCATTACTTCACCATTGAGCTAATAGGTCGGAATTGCATTGTCTGCATTCTCTTACGTCTGCCAATTCGTGACATAACGCGAACTTTGTCCAATGGCAACTTAAGGTATTTTTCTTACACTCAATTTTGTTTGCTTCATCGGTCACAACTCATTAGAACTTCGGGAAATCTCATCTGAATTACGATCCAATGGCTGAATAACAACATGGTTGCCGTGAAAGCTGAAGTTCCTTGAGTCGATCCTTAGGGAGGCATGGTTGCACACTGTTGAGGAATTCCATACTAGGATGGAATAGTCATGTTGTACTTCTAGGTTTTGAATGACTGTCCAACTGATGTCCGTTCGTGATGACTACCAACTTAAACTCAGTGAATAAATCCCCTTAAACCTTCAAATAAACAAAAAGTTAAATCAGAAACTCAATAGGGTAATAGGGTAACTTGAAACAAAGTGCTTTTGATAGGCTATACTACAAATTTAGTATCAGCGAGACGGTCCAAAGTGTTGAGTGATATGATGATGATAGAGCTTGAGAAGTGCTACAGTTGAGTATATTGATGACTTTAAGAAGCAGAAATAAATTTCCTGTGAAATTTCCAAAATAATCTGTTAGAGTTGGCTGCAGGGATTGATGAAAAGAAGCAGAAACGCATTACATTTCAGCACAAATTCCAACCGTATACATAAACAGATATGAAAAAGAATGTACAGGGTAAGTGAAATGATGGGGAGAAAAGGTAAATACAAATTAAAGGTTTATAGGAAAATATTTGAATTGTTTCTTCACATCGGAAAGCTGCGTCTGACTTCCTATCCACTTGTTATCTTGTGTATTCGAATTACATATTAGCTATATAGGATGAATTTAGTGGGATAAAGGGCAGGAAATTGATATAGACGTTTGTAGGTCAGAGGTTATCATATCTTTAGGACGACTTTGTAGGCTTTTGCTGCTCCTTGTGAAGGTTTTCATATGAACAGAGCAACTACACACTGGTGTCCAGTTACTGAAATGGAAAATCAAACAGACTTGAAACAGTTCTCATGTGACTGGCTCGTGGACTAACTGGCGGTATGGAAAATTCTCTTGATAGCTGACAGTAGTATAAGGACAACTGATAGTTCCCTAATGCCGATATCGTGAAAAATCATGAATATCTGAGGACGACACGGGTAGAGAAATGAGATTTTTCAGAAAAACTCTGGTTCAGAATGAAAACCTAACCTCATTTACTGTTAAATGTATAGAAAAAATAAGTATAATGTCCCGCATAACTTAGCACTACCTAAAAAACATCTGTGTATGAATCTGAAGTTCAAGTGCGATGCAGAAAGGCAAGTTCTGCAAGTAGTTTGAAGAGCATTCTTTTCTGAATCCCTACACAAAACCTCTTGTTTGTCAAAACGTTAAAGATAAAGCCCTGTTTTTAGCAGCATCTATGTGTGTACATAAAATCACACACTGATTTAGAGCTAAGTACATACGGCATACCAGGAGAACACTGTCAAGACGTGTTAAAGAATATTTAACGGCACTGAATTTATTCATACGCTGGATTGAAAAATTACAAAAGGAACAGGTTGGATTCAGGAAGAAAAAATCATGTGAGGATCAAATAGCAACGCTACGCATCATCATAGAACAGAGCGTAGAATGACAGTCAACTCTCTACCTCAACTTTATTGATTTTGAAAACACTTTCGACAGAGTCAACCAACAAGTAATTTTGCAGCCGCTTCAACACTACGGTTTCAGTACCACAAATGTCTATCAACTTCATTCAACAGCTTTATGAAGACGCCATATACCAAGTGATCCACAATGGGGAGCTCAGTGATGCCTTTGAAGTGAAGACAGGAGTGAGACAAGGCTGACGCCTACTATCACTGATGATCTTCCTGATTGTGGTCGACTGGGTCATTCAGCAAACCGTGAGGAGCGAGAAGGTGGGCATACGCTGCTTGGCCGATGAAAAGAACCCAGAAGGAGATTTGGATTTCATCAACAATGATGATTTATGTCTAGCGTCCTGTCGCACAAACTGGAAGATCTACAGGCGAAAACTAACAAGTTGACAGAAGAGGCAAGGCAGGACAGCGAAGACGGGACTTTAAGTGAATGTAGAGAAGACGGAGATGATGAAGATACCTGATCAACAACAGCATCAATAACAAGCACCAATCACCATGAACGGGAGAAATGTAAAGGAAGTTGTCTCTTTCACCTAACTACCTAGACAGTATCACATCATTTCAACAACAGGCAGCGGCACAGATAATGATGTCAAAGCCACGATCGAAAAGACAACAAGACAGGCCTTACTGCATTAATCTGAAATAATCAGTGTGGAGATCTACTGCACTACAATACACTACACAGCATAATGCATGAACAACATCCGGATTCTCAACGCTAATTCAGTCAAGACAAGATGTAGTTTCGTTCCTTCAGGGAGATTTTGATACATTACGCACAAAAAAGTAACTCATTTGTACATTTAGAATGCACAATTCATCTACATTTTGACAAGATATAAACTAATAATTCCACTATCTAAATTACAATGATTAATTGACAACTGGTTGTTAGGGGTTAGTTCACTGGCTTTTGGTTAGAGTCCCGTAGCAGTTTAGGGTTTTTCTAAAGAAATATATCTCAGATAGCTTGATTATCAAATCACTAGAGAGGAAGAAAAG